CATTTATCCATTTTGATATGAATTTGGGTAAATAAATGCATTCTAGATAGAAATCATTGATTTGACGATGCAAAAGCAAATTTATATGCAAGATTGATACCGGCAACAAAAATTGTGCCAGAACTCCCTTTTTGCTTCTACTTATGTCTACCTCAGAGTCAACTAATATCAACATTGAAGAAGAAAAAATAAAAAAACTACAATTGCTATTAGCCCAAAAGGCAATTTTGTAGTCGAATTTGGTAAAATCATCTGCAAAATATCATTTTATATTAACCATAGCTGCTGCAACAAAATTGTCACGGTAGATTCTCGATTTTGAATGGCTAACTGTCGTGACCGGCAAAATTTTGCTCGTATTACATACTTGTTTACTAATTTCTGGCCGGAATTAACATATTGTTTTTTTCATTACAAAAATATAATTTTTGAAAAATATGCCCACACTATGATAAAATTGGCCCGGGAACAATTTTCGCTTAATAGGTGGCAGTGACTTCATTAATAAAATTCTATCAATTCCGGCCTAATTTTTTGATCGTCTCTCTTAGCCAATCAAAATTGTGAAATTTTGTTGCAGCAACTAGAGTTAATTCAATACATCGTAATATACTGCTTATAATAATTTATATACAATATACAGTGTTATTTAAAGATGAATCGAATGAATCGAAATGTGATGAATTGGATAAATCAGAATTTGATAATGAATCTGATAAATCAAATTTTGCATTTTGCATGTTTAATGTTAATAGAAAGTCAAATAATAATGACAAATCGGATCAGGAATATGACGATAGTTTATCATACAGAAACCTTTCTTGCATCTCTACCTCAAAAATATTAAAATTTACAAAAAAGCAATCTAAGTTGATTAAGTCTCAAAACAAATTAAGCTGGTCAATTGCTGTGACAGATAAATTGAACAGACTCAAATTCAAACCATATGAATCAACTGTTAGATTATTGGTGATATCATGTATATGCATGCAAGATATGATACATATAAGTAAAGATAATAAGGACACTAGATTTACTATGGTTTTCTCTATTAATAACATTGGCAATGATTTTTTAATTAAAAAAATAAAGAAAAATTTTAACAAATATGGTGGTAGAATAGTCAAATTATTCTTAGCAAACAAAGATATGAATAAGGATGCCCAAACCACCAAAAAAACTAATGAAGCTGACCAGAATATTGATAATGATAATCAGAATATAGATAAATACTTTCTTATTATTTTAAATGCCTCTGGGATTTATAAATATCACTTTGTATACTTGAATTACAAACCTACTGACAAAATTCAAAAATTATTAAATTATCTAAAGCAAAAATATAATTTCATAGGCCGCAATAATTTCAGCAACCTTGATTTTTATTTGAACACTGATGAAATTCAAAAATTACATTATCCAAAGTGAATATATAATGCTATAGACTATAATAGCGAAATTTACAAAGGCAGTTTAGCTAATTTTAATTTGAAATATTTTCTAAGATATTTAAATAAGCATTATTTTTTAGTAGATACTATATGTGAGAGTGCATGATACATGGAACTTTATAATTTAAAAACAAACCAATTAGTAAATACCTTTCAAAGACAAAATTTGAACGATCTGAATTATGTTGGAATATTTCTGAAAATTTTGCAATATCAAACAATAACAAACTATTATCATATAAATCTGGAAGCCTTATAAAACTATACTTGATTGAAAGTGGTCTTAAACTAGCATCTATAGAGATAAAGATAGAGCTTAAACCCGACAAAACATCCTTGATTGAATATTTCATATATTTTTTTAATGATGATGAGAAATTATTAATTTATCATTCAAAATATAAATAGTCTATCCGGAATATTTTTGGTACAACTCAAAAATCTATTCAACTCAAAAATAAACTCGAGTTGGTTCTTTAAGTTCATGATATTACGAATAATCTTATTAATTATCAACTGGCACAATTGAACTCTCTTATAATCCTTGTTTATAACGAGGAAAAGAAACAAGACAAATTTTATAAGAGAATCTATAATAATTTAATCTTAGAACATTTAAATAATGATGACGAACAAGGCTTGAAGGTTCTATTGCAAAAAAAAGACCATATTCAACCGTTAGAATTACATGATGACTATAAAATGATTGAGCCTTGGAAATATTCACTTGATAATATGGGATGAATATTATTTGGTTGTCTGCAACATTCAGTTTATCTCAACAAAGAAAAGAAGGTTCTACTTTTGATTGGAAATATGATGGTTCAAGTTTGGCATAATCATGATGAAAAAAAAAGAACTCTTAGGACTCTTGAATTTATTAGTGTGATAGACAAGAGTTATAGTAACGATGTTGAAAGAATTCAATTAATTGAAAGGGGGTAATATTGATATAATTAATGCTGTTAAGGAAGCTTGAGTAGGGTCAAACTGGGGGTTCTGGGGTTAGAATTCTACCCCTAGCTTTCCTGTCTTTCTAATGTTCTCTACAAGCCTTTCTAGCTATATGAATCCTATATCGAATTCAAGCTCTAAATTACGCTAGAGCCAAATTCTGTTAA